CCAAAACGTAAACATACTTTTACCTTTAAGTAAAAACCACATACTTATATTTTTAAAACAAAGTAAAAGCATACTATTATTTGTATAATAACATATTTTTTTATGAAATAACTCATCATATTTTTTTATCAAATTTATGTGGTTTTACAAATAATAGTATGTTGTTATTTTTTTTTATCAAATTTTGAAATAAAGATAAATCTCAAAACCAATATCACATCAAAATTAAAAGTAGATAAAATGGTGTTTTATACTTTAAGTATTTTTAAATATAAAAAAAATGAAAATATGTAATGATGTATTTTAGTTTAAATATTTTAGATAAATTTTAGACAACAAAAATTATTTCTATATTAAATAAAATATATTTGTAATATTTAATAAATCAGATAAAAAAGGTAAAAACCTGAAATATTAAACATATAAAAAAGTTGAAAAAATGGTCCTCAAGTGAAGTTTCACAGACGGTCTTTAGGCAAAGTTTTAGAAATGGTTTTTAAGCAAAGTTTCACAAAATGTCAGAAATGGCCTTATCCAAAATTTCCTCATCTTAATGGATCCATCTAACGAACATCCATCATAAGGACTATCAAAGCACAAGGTTTTATCCAAAGAGACAATTAATGCAAAAAAGATTTCATAAGGATTATTTTAGGGACAAAATCAAAACCATTAGGATCATTTATGAAATTTTATCTAAAATATATTTGTTAATGTTCATTTGATTTATAGCATTTTTGTATAATAAGTTACTTAGATATTTTTTATAATAATTATTTTGGGGACAAAACTAGAATCGATTGAATAGAGATAGTGAAGATATAACTTGTAAGGGAAAAAAATGGCGGTTGAGAAGGGTCGAAAAGAGGGGGATCGAACTTTGATTTTTTCTGGGGGTTTATTCAAGAAGAAAAAGAGAGATCGTGGAGATGCATGTGTATCCTACTCAGTGCCTTTTTGAGAGGATCTGCAGGATTCTCTTCCGATGAAATTCTCTTTACTACGAGATGACCTTCTTCTACTCTATGTCTGATATAATGATACTTTCTGTCGATATGTCTTAACTTACCATAATCTCTCTGTTCTTTAGTCAAAGCAACCACACCTTCATTATCACAGAAAAGTTTCATAGGCTCCTGAATGGTTGGAATTACTCCAAGATCTCCGATTAAGTTTTTCAGTCAAGCCGCTTCCTTTGATGTTTCACTTGCCGCTATGTACTCTGATTCACATGTAGAATCAGCCACTGTGTCTTTCTTGGAACCTTTCCAAGTAACTGCTCCACCATTTAATGTTAACACCGAGCCAGATTCAGAACGAAAGTTGTCTCTATCTGTCTGAAAGCTTGCGTCACTATACCCGGTCACTCTCACCGTATTACTGTATCCAAAGACTAGAATCATATCCTTTGTCCTTCGTAGATACTTGAGAATGTTCTTTACTGTTGTCTAGTGAGCTCTGCCGGGATTTCCCTGATAGCGACTGACCATGCTTAAAGCAAATGACACATCAGGGTGAGTACATGTCATAGCATACATGATCGAACCTACAATCGAAGCATAAGGGAATCGACTTATATCAATTATCTCTTCATCCGTACTGGGGCTTTGAGTCTTACTCAATTTGGAATTGCTCTGAATAGGTAGCTCTTCTTTCTTGTAATTTTCCATACTAAACCTGTAGCACCTGGTTCTTGGTACGTATTCTTTTTATTAATTCTTAAATATTTTGCATTTTGGCCTTGGACTCGGCGAGTTGAAGGACCAACTCGCCGAGTAGAAGCGAGAAGGGACG